TTCGGAGGTCGACGCATTCAGCGCTTCGGCACAACCACATACTTTTCCTCTCTTTGTTGTCTCAGATTTGATTTCTGTAATGGACGATCTTCGAGCATTCCAGACATTCAAGTGAGACATTCATCGTAAACTGTGCGCGGGAATTTGGCGTTGATGTTCAAAATCGGCATGCAAATTGGCATGATAGACGGAAATGCTGCCTACGAACATTACCCATCAGGACATTGGCACAGCTGAAGTGTTAGGGCAAGAGTATGCTTCGCCATTTCTGGGCATGCATGACGTCAGTGGGAATGGACGAATGGCTGTTTGTGATTGGCACAGCGGGCGGCGCCAGCTATTTCGCGAGAAGTATATTGGTGGACGTTTGAACATATGCGTTACGAGACAACGTGATAGGTCGCTAGTATATAGTCTAGCTGGCAAAAACAGGATTTCGACGACCCGGGGAGAGGCGATAGAGGCTGACAAATGAAAAATGGTGCAACCTTCCTCAAAATACTTCAACAAACGTGCTTCCCGGATTTGGCTCACTTTCTTCTAAAAGTTAGAGCGTGAGCTTGAGCCTATGTTGCGTGAGCTGTAGACCCCAACTTTCAAGCCGACATGACCTTTAGCTTTGAAACCTATCCGGCCCGTTGTTATAATAAGGCCACAAGGCTGTTTTCCAAAAATAAGCTGACGTTCTGATCATGGTTGCATGGCCAAACGCTAACTTCAAACCTTGACCGAAGCTAGAAGATCTGCGGATTGGCCATGGTTGTGGCTTCGTTCCTAAAGTTGAGAAGCCTCTCCCCTAGCATGGTGAAAGGAGGGCACAGCTGAAAGGCAGCCGAGACCAAACCAGGTCAGGGACGAATTCTGTTAAAGTTGGCTGGGAGCGGCGTGATTGCTGAAAGAACTCGGAATTATTGTTAGTGTAATTGGCAAGCTTTTCTCTGGTTTGAACATCATATTGTGGTGAACGACAGAACATAGCGCGACAAATTCACTCTTAAAGTAACGATAAGTTCCGTCTATGGTCGCGAACCCACTGCATAAGACACCATACACTTCTACAAGGCCAGTGAAAAATTCAGTCTGTGCGCGGTGCCCTGATGCGGTGTCCTGATGTCCGTGTGCTGGTCACAGCGGCCCGCTCCCTCCTGCGTGGTCGGGTGCGGCCTGCCCCGAGGCTCGGCCCCGTCCGGAGCGTGACCCGGCCGCGCCCCGTCGGGTCACGTCCGGTCGGCGTGACGTCACGGGCCGCCCGGCCGGCCCGGCCGCCGGCCGCCGCGGGAGAGCCCCTCTCAAAACAAGAGTGACACATTAGCCGTACCAAATGGCTACGGCAAATGGAAAAATGCCTGCCGCGGGCCGGAATCGATGATGATGGATTGACGGTAACGCATACGGGGAGCCGCGCTTTATCGATGCAGAATTCCACTGTATTTCATGGTGACGACGGGAAGTGGGGGAAATTCTCCAAATGCTTTTTGTCTGAGCTGCCTTTTATACGGCTTTGTGGGTTGGCTGGCCACACGAATCGAGGGATTTGAAATGAACAGCGGTCATTTGTCAACGGCGCCGGAGCGAGGGCGTCGCTAACGGGCAGGAAATGTCCCTGTTCAATTTCATGTGTGCTGTGTTGCGCTTGGCGTGCCGTCAGAGCGGGTCTAGCGTATCGGCCACGAGCCAGATGCTGCCACCGCTGTATAATATGACAGGCGACATTGTTCCTGCCGTTTTTAAATTCAGCACTTAGATTCACCCGTTCTGTGTTGGTGAAGTGCAGCATGATTGATAAAAAGGGATTTGCAGGCTCGATATGATATTTTGAAGCCACACATTACGAACGCCAGCATACTTTCAGGCTCTATTCGGGTATTCGAATCACTTCATTGGCTATAGAAACTTACATGCTCTCTCTCATGATAAACATTTTTTATGGCCTGCATTTGTAGAACCTAATCCAGAAGAAATTACTCACTTGAAATGAAATTCATTCCGCAACGTACCAGCCGTTTTTGCTCAGCGCTGCTTTTAAGCAAACAACTTCAGACAGTGCAAATCCTATTTTGGTATGTTTGTTGTGAGTGTGTTCAGACTCGGAATATTTTCTATCTTCTATGTCCGTTACATTTTTTAATACTAATTGTCGCCTCATCTTTGTGACCCTGAGCACTGCCTCGAACGTCGAGCTTTCCCAATGTATAAGATTTGTCTCTTTGATAACATGGTTTAACCAGCATCTACTAGCACATATTAAGGGACCGGTCATTTTAAACATTAAAACTCACAATGAAACAAAAATGGAACTCACAACGAACAACAGAATTTGAAGATCACTCACGCTCATTTGAAATTCACTCACCAGCGCTTTTGATGGAAAGTACAAACCCGATTCGTTGGGATGTCACAGCGAAAATATTCCGCGCGTAATCCACATTCATCCATCAGGTTCCATATTTCAAAACATAGAACGTCAAACGTAAAACTAGCTCACACGTTAAGCAATGAATTTTCCTAATGAATGTTTAGTATAGCACGAGGCACCGCTTAAGTGATGGTATAAAACGGCCTTTACTGGCAAGCAGGCAAGCAAGCATTGGTATCTTTTGTAAGAAAGATTGACGCTTCGAAGCAGAGCGCATGGTGGCACGCGTCCACGAGCACTGCTTCGGAAGGTCGAGTCTTTTCATGATATGCATCAATGTTTGCAAACCAGTATCTCCTGCTGTACTGGAGGTCGGTTATTTGCAACACACAATACTTTAAAGCACCTGAAATCAGGGGCTGCGGATCTTTCTGGCTCATATCAAGCTCAGGTTTAGTTTCCGCGCTACAGCCTACTCGAATCCATGGATGAGCCATGAATATAAATATTTACGCAATCTGTGAAGAACTCTCATAGATAATGCAGACAATAACATGTGTGCTGGTTGGGAAAGCGACAAGGATAATAATGCGAACGAAACTAAATTCTGAGAAATCATATCATGAAATGGCTGAAACGGGAGGGTTAAAAGAGGCAGCAGGTCCCGTCTCCAAAATCCAGTTGGCTCAGTCCTTTGCTCCTGCAAGTAAATGTAATGATGGAAGGATGGGGGGAAAGCTTACCTCCCATATCTTTAGAGGATCGGAGAATATAGGAGGATCAGATCAGAGGATAGAGGAGGAAGCTTCCCTCCCATATCTTTAGTCACTGATTGCATCCACGCGTGTAATGCCCCGTGAATTACAACACTATCTTGTGCCCACGCGTAACCCAGCCGCGGTTTCTTGCCACCAGGGCTCAGCGTCACCGCTTGGAGCTTGCTCAAAACGGCCGCCGACGTCGAAGTGCCCCCGAAACCCCAAACATGATCAACTGGGCTTTGCACCCTCCCCCACGAGAGGGACGCTTGTGCTGCCCACCGATGCTGCGGACATGGCTCTGGACAGACCCTCCCCCTGGCGGCTCCTGGGCTGGTCCGGTCCCTGGTCCAGCACGCAAGTCCCGACCAGCGGGTGACATGACCGAGTCACGAGTGTGGCCAGAACGGTCCTTGTGACTAGCCGTCCCCGGTTTTTCCATCTCGGCGGTGTGTCGATGCTGACAATGACAAGTGACGACCACAATCGCAGGAGCCCAGGGGAGGGAGCGCTGGCCCGCTCCCTCCCTCCTTAGACGTGTTCTCTTTCACTTTTTGCACAGATGTTTCCCGTTTAAGAGTTTTAAATTGGTCAGTAATTTTAGATATTGGTTTAAATCGAGTCATTCAATTCGTCCATCTTTTGAGTTCGTTGGATTGTTTAAAGTCAGCATTCACTAGATGCCATTAACTAATTCAACAGCCTGAAATGCGTTGACTGTTAAATACACTGGGTTGCGAGGCAGCCGTATTACGTACTGTCAACAACAATCTTATCTGCAACCCGAAAGTTTGCAAACTGCCAGTATTTCTTGTGTATCTCTGTCTCTGTATCGGCATTTTTGTGAGTTCCTCTGCCTCTAGTTCCCCATCTCTGCAAGCGTTCCTGTCTTTGTCTCAGCTCCGTTTCTGTCTCTGAGACTGGCGCTGTGCCACTCTCACTCACTCACTTACTTATACGTACGAACATGCCTCGTTTTATCCGGGGCTCTCTCACATATAATAGGGCGATGAAAAACTTAAAGCCAACTACCAAATAAGAGCTTAAAGAAACCAGATGACGTGGCGACAGCAAAAACTGGTGCGCATGACGCGGCGTAAATACGAGCAAACCTCCACTTGCCGCGTGCACGCAGCACTGCGACAGTCAGTGGTCTGCCACAGCGCACGCAGGCGAGCCGGAGCCGGGTCTGTGAAGCTCCCGCCGAGTGGGGGACCACACATCGGGGCCCTCCCAGGCGCAGCGACGAGCGCCCGTCACTGGCGACAAAGCCACGCCAGCCGGCCGCCGGCGCGCCGACACCTCGCCTTGATTTCAGGCCTTTTCACCAGTCGATAAAATTCCGACTCGTCAGCGTCCCGACCGCCGCCGGCCGCGCCCGCCGCGATAATTTTCCAGGTAAACGCGCAGCAGTGCGCCCGGCCGGACCACCAGGCGACTTGACGTCTTATTCGTGACCGGCGGCCGGAAACATCGGCGGCGCGAGCTGTCGCGCGTCGCGTCGGGGTGGCTGGCCGTGGCGCTGGGGTGGCGCGTCTGCTAACGGTGCCGGCCGCCGGCCGCCCGCCCTGCCGGCCACATAATTCACATGCTAATGTCACCGCGCCCCTGCGCCGGGAAGTCCGGCCGGCAAGATGGCGCGTCCCTCAGCATCCTCCCCTGAATCGAGCTCACTGGAATTTAAAACATTCCGAATCGTATGAAAATCATTCATACCTTTTATTTTCCTGTCATTTTCCACCGTCATTAGGTCCGTGGTGGCCCCGCCCCCTTCGCGCCCGGCCGGCCAATCAGCGGGCGGCGGCGGCCACCAAAGGGACCGCACAGGACGCGGCGCGCGAGGCGACAGGAGCTGGCGGCAGCCGTGGGGCCAGGCGCCGGTCCGCCAGCCACGCTGCAGCGCGCCGAGCTGGAGTGGCCGGCCGCCGACGCCATGGCCGTGTCCACCTCGCTGGCCATCTCCAACATGAGGCCCATCTTCTCCGGATACCCGTTCCAAGGTGAGCCCGCCGCGGCCGGCGGCTGCCGACTGCCAGCAGCAGCGCAGCAGCAGCACGTGCTACCGACGTGGCGCGCTGGTGCTGGAGGACAGCAGCGGAAATGTCGTGTACTGTTTGAGCAGTATTGAGGTGGCTGATACTCGAGGTGCTTCGCATCCAAAAGTCTGACTGCAGGATTTGCGTGCGAGTGCGTCCTTTCGATGAGCTTCACGCCGTAGCCGCACGTGTTCTCCGCGGACCAAACACGCGACGTGCTCCTTGCATTTTGTCCTGGCAGAACATGAACCAATCCTGTAATGTCAAACGAACTCGGCAATACTATTCGTTGAGCAGTATAGTGGAGTGAAAGGGAATAATAGAAAACACGCCAGTGGGTGCCTTTACGGACTGCTCAGCCCACATTGAACTACGCGGTGGAAAGCCCAGAAGCTTGCGGTGTGCGATCGATGACAGCAATGCACCACCCGGCACTGGCGATGCATTTAACCCAAAAGCAGGGCGACTCCCACCAACCAACTCGCACAGCCGTTCTCACTGCACTGCTCGGCTCAATGCATTTGCCTTCTCCGATATAATTTTGACTGTCGAAAGAAATTTCCCTTCTCGGCTGCTTTTCACTAATCCTTTCTGTTATTGACACCTTGCCTGGGAGTGATTCATTTCGGATTTTCGTCTGGTGTCCGTGTCCTGCGGGCGGGCCCGGGATCAGTACGGAGCGGGCCCGGTGCGGCGCCGGCCGGCCGCTCCGCCCGGGCTGCCGCGCGGGCCGGCCGCGGCTCGGGCCGGCCGCCGGTCGGGCGGCGCCAGCAGTCGGGACGGTCCGGACGCGCCGGCGGCGTACCCGGGCGACGGACCGGCCGCGTCCTCCGGCAGGGAGGTCCAGAGAGGGGAGCACGGCACCCGCCGGTGGCCCGGAGCACGGCACCCGCCGGTGGCCCGGAGCACGGCACCCGGAGCATGCGGCGGAAATTCCTGGAAATCGTCAGAAAAATCCATCGCGCGTCGCGCAAAATGGGATATCATATTCACTGCCCTAAAATGAGTTATTGTTAAGGGTTTTACATCATAAAGCAATCCTATCCGCAATGACGTAGAGCATAATTTTGGTCAAGCACGAGGCCGCAGGCCCATGTTAAAGCTAAAAAGTCTGGGGGAGGGCCCCTCTCCATACCACTGCAATGTTAACTCCATGCATGTAGGGAGCAGACCATCTTTGATGCAGTTGGCTTTTTGGCGGCCTGGGGAACCGGAAATGACGACCACGACATCCTCACAGAAAAACTGGGCCTCTCGAGAAAGGCGGAGACAAATGGCCTTGCTGCCGCCGATCCCGGCAGTCGGGCATCCCGGGAGAGCGGGAGCACGACACGCGCTGTCGTGCTCGCTCTGACACCGCTCAGAGCCGCTCTCTGAGGTGACCCAGACCAGGCGGGGCTCAGATAAGGTAGTCGTTGGTGAGCAGACGCAGGCCCTGAAGGGCTTCACGCCCGCCTGCACCGAGCTTGAGTCTGCATGTTAGCCATGTGACAAAGCTAGGAAAAATCAGTTCACGGCACATCTCATACATACATCATACATACATATACATACACATCATGCATACATCATACATACACATCATACATACATATATCTCATGCATACTCTCACACATGTGCTGATATTTAGCCCTGCAGAGTGACTATTCAATTCCGTCCATTCATGGCACACGTTCTCGTTTCTGCAAAGGCCTATAATCCCGACTGTCACCCATTTATCAAGGCCATGGCACGGACTTCCATGATAGCGCGGTCCAGGCCTGGACGATTAAATCCGATTTCATGCGTGCTCCTCTCTGGCTGATGCTCTGATAGTGTGTGACACGCGACGGGCCCACCTGGCCGGCCGGCCGCGGCCCGAGCGGGGCGTGACGCGTCACAGCGCCCCCGCCTCGTGACGAGGCGTTACCGATGGCCCGTGCAGCCTTGAAGACAAATCCAGGGTGGGCCGTACGTAATAATTTCGGTAATTACCCCACTAGCTACCTGATCATTAGGTCAACGCGCATCAAATTTAACACAGATTTGATGCGCTTAAAAGCGCGTGTGGGTCATCCGCTGACCGTTCTCGCAGTTCAGCGCGCTGATCGACGAGCGCGGTGGTGTATCATGTGTGGCGCACGTGCGGGCTTGTGCATCTGCCGTAGGAGCGGTTTGCTGGTTTTAGCTGCTGGCATCTGACGTGCCTTATTATAACTGCATGGGCAACTGGCAATGGTAGAATGCCTTTAACTTTGATGCGCGCGGCAACGTATTTGCTACTGGTAACATGCGTCTACCTTTTAGAATGGTGATTATTTTGACGGGTATTTGGTTCTATTGCATATCGAATCCTGCCTTCGTCTTTAAATATGAATCCGTCGCACAAAAAGTGCTACGCCTGAGAACACAGAAAGGCCTTGAGCCGTTCTATTAAAAGGATGTAGCAAGCTTTTCCAACTAGGGTCGTCACATTGCAGTGGGCAATACGACAGAGTAATTTAGTGCCAATTGTAGTACAGCCCCGCGGATATATGAAAAAAAATGACAGAAATCCCGATGACTGAAAGCTCCCCTCAGTTTCTTAACACTTCTTGTGAGGATATTCCGTGTGTTGCTTGGTGGTAACGGTAGCATATGGGCATTCCAAACATGAACGGACGCGTTAAATGTTACATACCAGAGCATTCGCTTGACGCGGAATGATACACAGCTAGTGCCAATTTTGCCACAGGTCAAAGTGAAGAAGCTGCCTCTGAGCCGAGTCTCAGAGAGACACGAGCCAAACTGATAACTGACGGTCTTCCGTATGAATAAAGGGTAACAGGAAAGGCCATTTCTTAAAGACTTCCAGCGATCTTCGGCTTGGGAAGAAATCTTCTGGATGTAATGATGTAACCTGAACCGCAGCAATGTCAACTGTCTGTTGTGTGGGAACATGTGGAAGACGTTCCGCCCCACCCTGCCCGTGGCACAACCATGGATTACAGCATCAAGCCTGCATAAAAGACGCGGGAATGATAATGGCCCGCCCGTGTTCCTTACTTCCCGGCCATGAATTTTGGCCGCGGCTGGTCTGCGTTAATTGACGCTTACTCGGGCAGCTGGGCGACATGAACCGAACCCCCGACGCCAGCTTTTTGCACACGTGCTCATACGGAACAATCTGCACACAGAGGCGCCCACCTGAAGGGGTCGTGCGTGCAGGCGCCAGGCCAGCCTGGGGATCACAAGAGCAGACCAGTAACTCACGGCATCCTTTCAAGACATTGCGTTGGTGGGCGGCGACAACAACCCATAACCCTCTTTTTTAGGCGTGACTTTTTAAACAGTGGTGATTCAGCGACATTGGGACGGCGGTGTCGTGAATTGGCGCATGCTAGCAGGCTCTAGGCAGGCAACCGGCGTTTGCTAGCAATCTCCAGGCTCCAGGCAGACAATCGCCGCACCTCCGGGCTCCAGGCAGACAATCGGCGCATCTCCAGGCTCCAAGCAGACAATCGGTGCATCTCCGGGCTTCAAACAGGCAATCGGCGCATCTTAGGCTCCATGCAGGCAGTCGGCGCATCTCCAGGCTCCATGCAGGCAATCGGCGCATCTTCAGTTTACAGGCAGGCAATCGGCGCATCCGCGGCCCCAAGCAGGCAGTCGGCGCATCTCCAGGCTCCAGGCAGGCAATCGGCGCAGGCTCCGGGAGCGCCCGTGACTTGGGGATGAAAGCATTCGGTGACGAAAACGCATCCCATTGTCCAATGTTAGGGGCACAGGACGCGTCGACCTGGCATAATCATATCGATCGGAACCATTGTCAACACATGTGACACACATGCCAGGATGTATTTTCCCATTCAGTTGGGGGGGGGGGGGGGGTCCAGCCTCTTTAGTTTCGGAGGAAAGTGGGCCAAATCCGGGAGAATTAACGTATTTTGGTGATAGATTTAGGCATCACTCAACGCTCAGCCCTCCAACTTATTTTGCGTAAGCTGCACTCCAGCACACACGTTCATTGCCGACGTGTCCCATCTGTCAGCGGCCACAATGGAGCCAGAGACAAATTAGCAGTGCTTGCAACACGAATTTTAATTTTAGGATCCATAGCAATCACACAAACCACTCCTGATGAGCCCGCGGCAATAACATGCGCAACGCTCTTCATCTCCTCCTCGCACCCACCTTTATAAGCATTTGCCAGTTTCAGACCCTTATTGGATTCCACAGCACAAAGGCATTCCTTTAACAAAATACGTTTACGTCTCGATGACGACATCGGGACATTCGCGGAGAGAAAGAGAGCTGCACTTTCGTGTTAAGTTGAATAGGGTGGGGTTGCGGGTCAGGGAGCAACGACTGCCCGACTCTCCATCCGGGCCTCAGTCAATTTTGAGACCAGTCGGTGTTACGCTTGAACAAAAATGAACGCAAAGATGGAAGAAAATCCATGTCGAACTTTCTTTGGGCGCGGTCCGTACACATTGGCTTGCTCAGCGTCTGATTTGGCGCGCCTCCCATCTGTTCAAAGACAATCGAATTAGTGTACACCATTTAACCCGCGTTTTGTCATGCATTTTACCAGCCTTCAAACGCGATGCCTTGAGATGAGAGGGCGTGGGTATAATGACCGGGGTTTTTATCGCCGGCCCGACCTCTCACGAGCTTTAGACACCATGGTCCGTGGGGAGAAAGCCAGTGCTCTGGCTCTCAGCCAGGCGGAGCCCACCGTTCGCAGCGCACGTCTGTTGTGGCCGTGTTACCAACACGCTGCTTCTCAATGTCAAACACAGGTTTTTTCAAGTCGGTGCATGTTTGTTTATTTCGATGCACGCATCACGTTTTATTGTATGGAGTGCATGTAATATTTTTCTAAACTTTCGGCTGATTACAGGAGTCATGCTAGACAATCTTATGCGGCCTATTTCCAAGCCATTTGTTAGGCACCTCCATGGAGCTAATGTTTAAGCTTTCAGGAAAAAAACGCTCTGGGAAAGCACACATCGGCATGCCTATGCTTCGTAACGACTAAGAAAGTTTCATAACTCGTGGTCGCACGAAAATCGCTTCCCGACGTACGAGCGTTCTAGAAAGCCATTTTGTCAGCGTGTGACTGAGGCGTGACGCGTCACGGTGTCAGGCCCCGGTGACGCGTCACGGTGTCAGGCCCCGGTGGCGCGTCACGGTGTCAGGCCCCGGTGACGCGTCTCGGTGTCAGGCCCCGGTGACGCGTCTCGGTGTCAGGCCCCTGTGACGCGTCTCGGTGTCAGGCCCCGGTGACGCGTCACGGTGTCAGGCCCCGGTGACGCGTCTCGGTGTCAGGCCCCGGTGACGCGTCACGGTGTGATCGATATCGCCGCTCCCCCGGCGTTGTTTTAAATTCTTGGCAAATGCACACCCCTGGAGGTATCGCGGTATGTACTTTCGCCAACAGGCGGTGCAAAAATAGTTTTTACCCATGCAGTGCTTTAGGATTTGCAGTGTGATCGTTCTAGCAACGTACCCCCAACCGCGAATTTTTCGGTTTAGATGGGATTTTTAGACATTTTGCGGGTAAACAAGTCACCGCTTTCCTTTTTTGCCCTCGCGTGCTGCTTTTTGAGTCATCTTCTTTGCTTTTTCTGATCTCCTTTTCTCTTCACTTGGTGCTCTCCATGGGTGACTAACGATTACAAACAAAAAATAGAATAAAAATCCTATAATTTAGTGGTCATTTATCGACATTTTGTAAACCGCGACAAGTCCTTCACACTGGCATGGCACCGTCTTTGATCAATATTACAATGACCAATAACCAGCTCCCCTTCTTTGCGCCATCGCATGGAAGTGTCTTAAGCTGCAAGAAGGAAGTTGCTTTGTACACATACTCGCGTAAACTGTTTGCTCGAGTGACGTCGTGATCAGAGGCCTCGCTAAGCATCCAGCCCGTCGATCGACATTGTACTACCACCCAATTCGACCCGACAAAAACATTCGTCCCAGGTTGTCAGGTTTCAGTGGTATGAAGGAGACGTACCTGCATGTCTGCTACCGTTCCTAACAGGTTCTGACTCTAGGTGCACGTCTGGCAATCATAGAGTAGTGATCTGGCCCTGATAGAGTAGGCTTCGTACGTCACAGCCGCCGAGTCAGCCGAGCTTAGCGGACAGCCGTCGGTCAGCGTCCACGACTCTAAATGACTCTGACTCCGACTCTGAAGCGCAGGAAACGCTTATGCCGGGAATGGGCCTCACCATGAAAGTCCACCGACCCAGTGGGCCAGCTGGCCTGATTCTGATCGAATGGACCACGTGGGGCCAAAATGACCAAACGGCCAAACGACCAAAAAGTCACTAAAACACCAAAACGGTCAGAAATACTATCCATTTTTGGGGAAACCTGGTCGTCGGCTACTCTCATAATTAGTTCAGTTGTCTTAACTCTTACGGGTCAGTTTTTACTCCGATACAGTTTTCGTCGGATCCGTGTGGTTAAAATTGATCTCATGTGAAAGTGGAAGAACCAAACATTCTTGAAATGGAGTTTTGTCCCTCGTGCCAGTGCTCTTTACATGCACAATAATTTTTTAGAGAATTGATGTCCAGTCGTTGCTGTATCCTGAGGGGTGTTGGAAGGAATGGATCATTGCAAACGGTGTTTTGGTTTACGAAGTTACAAGCTATTGGTTTTATATACATACGAGCATATCACTTATTCAATGAGCATCGCGAGCTACAGAAAAGACTGTCGTGGTGTAGTTCCGCGTCTGAACGTGTTTGGTAGCTGGAGAAATGCTGAAGGCCACACACCAAACGATTCCCGCAATGCTCCGATATTTCGCAAGTGCGAAATTCTCTAAACAGTCTTCCGGTGTTCGCTCAAATTATAAACGTGGCATCCTTCTGATTTTTTATTCATTTAACCGCGGGCACAGTTTTTGCTATAATTTCAACGCTTTAATTATATATTTACAGATTCCACTGGTAGCTGCAGTGTAATACAGTCCAAATGTTGACGGGAGTCACTGAAAGTAACCTTGATTTGACATATTCCGGGCATCCTAGGACTACTTGCTTGAGACAAGAAAGATTCTCCTGAGTTCGGGTCAGGGATTCATAGCGCACCACATTCCTCGTCTGCTAGAATGCCCCGCGGTCCAAGCAGATGAAGAGGCAGGCCTGAGCTCTGCCGGCTGAAGCCAACGTCTTGAAGCCAACTGCTCAGTGCTCTTGAACCAGCCGGCGTCCGTTCCATCCCACCGTCAGCTGTCCAGCTTCTCGCCACTGCGTATGCGCGTTCGTGCGCCTTTGTGCCCTGAGGCTCTCCGCTTCTCTCCGTCCAGGTCAGGGCCGGGTCAACCAGCTGGGCGGCGTGTTCATCAACGGCCGGCCGCTGCCCAACCACATCCGTCTGAAGATCGTGGAGATGGCGTCGGCGGGGGTGCGACCGTGCATGATATCGCGGCAGCTGCGCGTCTCGCACGGCTGCGTCTCCAAGATCCTGAACCGGTACCAGGAGACGGGCAGCATCCGGCCGGGCGTCATCGGCGGCAGCAAGCCGCGCGTCGCCACGCCCGAGATCGAGACCAAGATCGAGGAGTACAAGAAGGAGAACCCGGGCGTCTTCAGCTGGGAGATCCGAGACCGATTGATCAAGGTTAGTCCCCGGGTGCCGGCGGGGTCATAACCGGGCGTGTTGATCCTGCTGGGGTCTCTGAACGGACGTTTTTGGTTGCGTTAGCCAATCTATGTTATTAGCTTCATGCTCGTCACGCTCTGCCAAGTATGGGTACTGATGGGTGAAAGTGAAGGGCTTGCGTCCAGCGCCTCCATTTTTGAAGTGATCATAATTAGGCCTCACTGCACACATAGACTCGTCAACACCCGCACTGGTGAAAGCACGCCGTTCTTGACGCAAACACATCGCCTGTAACTGACAATATCAACTGTCGTCTATGCAGTCGTGGAAGGTGTCAGAATCCAACACAACTCAGAACGAGAGCGAAAACACTCGTTAGTTGAAGCTCCTCGTTAGCGGCTGATGTCAGACGCAGCGTTATCTGAAGGTTGAGTATTTACTACCATGACCCGTTTTCTCTCCATGTAGCTGTTGTGACCAATACCACTCGCTGATATGTTACGACGCCTACGGATGATGCTCACCACTTATGGCCATGGGTTCGCCTTTCACTTTCAAAGGAGTTTGCCACCAGCGTAACATCACCTGGCTCCGACAGAGTGCGGTAAAGAAACAAGCACCCAACCTTGCGCAATCTAACGTCACGCAAACTTGGCGCGCAAGGAAGAACGCATTAAAACTCTTCTAATGTTCGCCGAACTTTTCTCCAGTAGCGTATCTCACGGGTATCAGGCATTCCTGAGTGTAGGAACAGCACAGATGCCCCCCCCCCCCCCCCCCATAGCTCCGGCGAATGCAGGTGGGTCGTGTATTGAGGTTTTTCGGGTGTTAGCCCTGGCGAAACCGGACTGGACAGACCAGACTCGTTACCCGTACCCTCATTTCGTATCAGATTCCGATCTCTTTATTCCTATGTTTTTGAGACGTGGCCTTATAACATTCACCAATTTCAACTTCTTCGACATTCCCAACAACATTCCCGACATTGTTTAAGGGGCTCATATTCGGGTGCGTATACGCATTGCGAGCCCCTGATCTGAATGCTGGGGAAATACCGCGTAGACTCTGCTCGCAGGCGAATGTCCACACAAGCACGTCACTCTCCAGCCATATCACGCGCAATCCCCATGCACTTAAAAGGAATATTTCGCAGTTGAAAATGTTGAGGTAAGCTCAGATATGATGAAACAATATTAATCATAACTTTTGGTTTACTTTTATTTAGGAAAGACTGCTCTTGACGACACAATTTCTCTGTTTAGTGAACATGCTCCTCGATACGCCACTGTTTGGCTGCGTTATTGTACCTTGCACAATATTGATTGAGAGCTAATTGACGGTCGTTATATCTGGAAATCATGCTCACGAACCCCAGATATGAACGACTCGACCATTAGACAACTTCTCGGCCTTGATCGCCGCACGGCTTATGAAATGACAGGATTCGAAGAACGTTATATGACGTGAATGCCAAGGTTACCTTGAAATGCTCTTCCCATTTTCGCGGGCGTGTAGCTCAGAAACCATGGGGACTTACGGCTTAAGGAGGGCTGGGCTGTGAACCTGCACCGAAAGATCTTCAAGATGGCTATTTCAGCTCAAAAACTGATATAAGTGTGGAGCACTCCCTTCAACAGACTAATTGGTTGGAAAGACAAAATAAGAATTATGCATATCTACAAATAGGAAACTCAGGAAATGAGCACAAACAACAACGCACGATATGCTCGTTTGCATGTAAAACGGCTGAGCCGGTTAAGCCGATACTGGCACAATGGAAGGGATTTGATAGAAGCTCTCTGCTCCCCTAAGTCTGAAGAAATGATAGAAGCAATGCACTCACTCTGCAATCACTTAGATGCGCACACTGAGTGTTTCGATCGCCTCATCTGCTTTGTTACGCCTCCCATGACGTTGGTATCGTCTGGAACGCGGTGTGGAGTGGAGTGCTGATGTCTTCATGTCCTGCATGGATGGCGTAGGAGCTGTCCTATGCTAAACGAGGGAAGTCAGCGACGTTATTCTACTGTTTATGAGGGCCTGTAGTAACTGGGCCCTGGGATTTTAATTCAGGCATCGCTGTGAGTAGTTAGATACACTTATAGTAGTGGGTAGTGAGTCGCAGTTAGATACGCTGTTCTCCCACGTGGAAAATGTGTCTGGCTGCTAGGAAGCTATGCGTTTTTCAAAAGGGCATCACTGTGACCATAGTTTTAGCACGGTCTGAGAGAGGCTTGCTGTTCACAGGTCGCCTTTGTGAGATTTGTGCCGCTGCCATTACCTTTGTGAGAGCACAGCTCAGGGGTGTAGCTTCCTATTCAGTTGCGGGGGCTCCAATTCCCCGCCTCCCCAATGTGAACTCCTACTCTCCAACTTGGGCTCTAGCTCCCCAACTTTGCAAACGGTGGACCAAATCCATGGAAAAAACTCGTTTGGTTGGATATTTTCAAGAAGGTGTTAATTTTCACTGTTCATCACCCGCACCCATTTGCTAAACCACGCCCTTAGTAACGTTGTTTCAAGGCAGTCTTCGAGAGGCTGCTTCAGGACGGTCTTTATAACGGTCCGCACTGTTCATCGACAGTCTTTGAGACTTTCGACGTTGCTGTGCTGTTTTAGAAGCGTGCCGGTCACGGTGCGTCGGGAGGTGGAGGCTGGTTTAGGGGGGGGGGGGGGGCAAGGAGGCTCTGACGTCTGGGACGTCACGGAGACCTCGCTGGCCGTTGTGACGGAAGGACGCGCTGGCCGTTGTGACGGGGGACGCGCCGCTGTTTCAGGAGGGTCTCTGTGACGAAGAGCCGGCGCTGTTTCAGGAGGGCCTGTGCGACCGTAACTCGGCGCCCTCTGTCAGCTCCATCTCACGCATCCTGCGCGGTGGCCCGGCGGGCGACGAGCTCAGGAAGGACCACAGCATCGACGGCATCCTCGGCGAGTCGGCAGGTGAGCAGACGCCTCCCAGCGCGAGGTCGCACGAGGTCACAGGTGATGCCACACGTGCGCTTCCTTTCTGGACGCCACACGTGTGGGAATGAAGGAGCTTTTTATCAGTGTTGTCAAAAGTATCACAGACGCAGCTTGAGTGCTTACAAAATGTTAACATTAGCCGTGTCGAGTTCTTTCACCTGTACCCATTACGGGCTTTCTTGGATGACTCTGTACCTGTTACCGCCAATTTATCGCAACATGCATTAACCGTAGCGTAATCATGTTCGCCCGATAACTGACGCAGCGCGCGTTTGACCCGAGCTGCTCGCGCTTTGAGAGCAGCCAGCTCTGGCGGCCACATGCGGCCGGCGCAGCCGGCTCCAGCAGCCGGCCCCCACTGAGCAGCCGGGCCAGCCTGCCGACGGGAGCCGATGTCGGGGCCGGTAACACATCGCGCGCCTGCCGCCCGCATTAGGCCGCGCGGCTAACAAGACAAGACACCGGGTGATAAACCACTGGTGCGGCGTCGGCAGCCGGCTGCAGCGGCGCGCGCCGCGGCCGTGCCCGGCGCCCGTAGTGACCCCGCCGACCCGGCCGCCGCCGCCGCCGCCGCCGCCGCCGCCGCCGCCGCAACCGCCCATCCCCAGTCCGGTCATGTGCACCGCCCGTTTGTAATGAGCGCTCCCCGCTGACCGGGCTATGCGGCGCGCCGCGCGCGCGCGCGCACACCGGATATTAATTACCAGTCGGGGCGGCGGCGGTGGCGCGCGCCGCGCGGCCGGGACGGCGCCGCGCGGCAAAAACGCCGCGTCGTGCCCGGCCCGGCCCGGCGAGGTGTAATCTAATTAGGTGCCTGGGTGGCGGCTGACTTCTGAACGGACCGGCAGCTGATTTTTCACATTCCCGGCAGCCTCCCGCCGCGAATTCCGACCATTGGAGAGCGGGCAGTGAAAGGGCGCCGAGGCCGCTGCCAAAACGCCACCCAGCGCTCGCAGACGTGCAGTGCTGAGGCTCGGCTACGCGCGGAGGAACATCGGATGTTGGGCTGGTACGCATAACGCTACACATTTTCTGACTTAAACGCGGGCATCTTGTTTTATAATTCAAATTAGGTTCTTGAAACTACCGCATAGGAAATCACAAAGATTTTACTGAGATGGTATTATTATATGCTTATCACAGTGGGCCGAAGAAGGACAATCATTTTCTCTTATAAGTATGCCGGTTTGGCTAATCTTCGGGGATGCCTTGGAGCGCATATTTTGTCTAAACACAGATTGCTTAAGTGCGTACATCGCCGGGAGACCAAAGTGCCTTATTCATCGCAAGAATCTAGATAATTATCGAGCGAGCTGGCCAACTGGCACTAACGGAAGTGTATAGTATCATTCAAGGCCACGACACGGCCGTCCATGTCGCGTGCCTTCCCTGCTTGCGCGGATAGCGGGATCACCTCAGTGGCAACTCACGGCCACCGCCTCCCGCCGCCCGAGAGGACGATGTTTCCACCGCCAAGTCCAATGGGCAAGCTCTGAAATCTTCCTATAAAGGGATTGAGTCTGTCAAAAAAATGTTCTTGACCTATACAAATGCGTCAGAAGTTTTGTTATCCCCTCTTCATTCATATGGCATGCACCTGTTCGGGTGAGCCGTTTGCTCTTACTCTTGCGTTATTTTTGTCAGTTTGACTCCAGCGTTCTCTGTATGGCAAGGCGTGCACTGCTGACGGACACTGTTGAGTGCTATTCAGAACATGGTGTGACGGTGTTTTGGCCCAAGGCCACATTAGCGCAGAAGGCAATCTGACCGCTGTGATTGCGCTGGCTGGACTGAACAGCTCAGCTTTTAGGGAATACAATTTTGTCCCCGCTGCAGAAAAAGGGGTCATTAATGTGGCAAAAGTTCCGGTGCCCGCTTCCCTTCCTGACTGCTTGGGTGGCTGCAGTCAATACGGCGTGCATCTTTGACTTGTTGGTGATGAAACACTGCTTGGCCAGCTGTAAGCCTAGGCGCATAACCGTGTTTGACCGGGGTTCAGTCACCGTGACTGGGAAGCGTTGAACTACCGTGACTAGCCAATCTGGTCATTCCCCAGTGACTCACCGGTGAGTCATGACTGTGAGTGGCCAGCGTTGGGCAGCCGCCGCAGTCTAGTGCTGGGCTGTTCCTGCCGGCCAGAGATGGCTCGCCGCGCCTGGCCAGTGACCGGCCACAGATTGGCCAGTCACCGGCCACAGACTGTCCGGTGACCGGCCGCAGACTAGCCAGTAACCGGCCACAGACTGGCCGGTGACCGGCTACAGACTGGTCAATGACCAGCCTCAGACTGGTCAGTAACCGACCTCAGACTGTCCAGTGACCGGCCACAGGCTAGCCAGTGACTACTGGTGGCTCCAGTGCCTGGTTTCTAAACTGTCTAGAATCCTTCGTGTCGTGTCAGGGACGTGTCCTGGATCGTCTCCAGCCTCAAGCGCACTCATCAGCAATGCCACGAAACGGTGCTCTGGACTTATTTCAACGTGTTTTGCAACACAGCGCCTTTAAGCTCCGGTAGGGCACATCTGCCGCCCACAGAGCGGCGGCCGCCGTCCGGACCGGGGAGGAGAGGGGAGGGGAGGGGGGGGGGGCACGCGCCAGGGCGTTGCGCCGCCCACCGCCGCTCGACGGCCGACAGAAGCGGCCGTAAATCGCAGCTGCGGGAGGGGGTCGGCGGGACCAGCTAATGCCGCCGCTCGCA